TCTTCCTGTTTCTCGTGATCTCTTATACTTTCCGGTCCTCACTGGCACTTTCAGTTTCTCACACCAGAGAAACCGTCTGGCGTTTACGCACGTGTGTGTCATAGGTAATCTAGGTCACTCTCTTTTCTAGAAAGCGTTCTCGTTCTGCATTGCTGCTGCCCGGTGTTATCACTTGGTGGGTTTCTCCCCGCCCTCTCTCCCTTCCTCTCCCGTCACTATGCACCGCGGTGCACGTCCTGTAACCTCTCTCCCTCCTCTACCTCAGCGCAGAGCGCTCCCGCCCGCCCTCTCTCACCGCTCACCTGCAGCGCGCTCCCTTCACCCGGCCCCTCCGCCTCTGCCAGGCCCTCACGAGCCCTGTGAGCCGCGCCCAGGCTGAATTTCCTAAATCCAAACACATTCCGGATTCCGAAACGCGCCCACGTCCTCCGCACGCCGCACACCCTCCTGATGCTGCCCGTGGGCGGCTCCACGCCTGACTTCCCCGGCAGCGGGCAGTTACAAGGCAAACGCAGCTCAGGCTGCCTGCCGGCCAGCACGCCAGGAGGCTGAGTCAGGGAGATCTAAAGTTTAAATTGCACCCGGGCGACACAGCAAGACAGTGTGTCAAAATTAAGACAAAATCAGTAAATACTAAGGGAGGAGGAGACGGCTCAGTGACGAGGAGGTGTGCGCTCAATCCCCTCTACTCACAGGACTCTGTGGGGTGGCACCCAGCTTGCCTAAGTGTTGAAGGTTTGTCTCCCAGCTTGCTCCATTAGGGGACGTGGTGGAAGCCTGGGGGGGCAGGGAGGAAGTGATGTCACGGGGGTGTTGTGTGGACAGGAAGTACCCTGCTATGGTAGCCTGGTAGAAGGGAGGAAGTGAGGTCATGGGGCGTGGCCTGGACAGGAAGTACCCCTGCTAGGGTTGCCTAGTAGACAAGAAAGGAGGAAGTGGTGGCATGGGGTGTGGCCTGGACAGGAAGGAGGAACTGATGTCACGGGGTGTGGCCTGGACAGGAAGTACCCTGCTGTGGTTTCCTAGTAGACAAGCACTAACTCGAGAGTCAGGGCCTTCCTTGACTCTCACTAACGCCATGGGACCGAGAACAATTCCGTCATCACTTTCTGACCACTGCGGGATGAGCACCTTCATCTGCCGTGTGTTCCCACCTCCGTGTTCCACTCACTCACACTCAATCAACCATGGCCCCCAAATGGCCAAAAACGAGCCACGACACTTTTCCTCCTTATTTAGTAATGGATGTCGGCTGTTTTGGTTTTGGTGCTGGGGATCGCACTCGGGACCTTACACTTGTGAGGAAAGTGGTGGGACCATTGAGCTCTAACTCCGGGCCGTATCTTGGGCCTTTTGTCTCAGTGAAAGAAAAATGCCAGGCCGGGCACGATGGCACACGCCTGTCATCCCAGCACTCGGGAGGCTGAGGCGGGAGGATCTCTGTGAGTTCGAGCCCAGCCTGGGCTACATAGTGAGTTCCAGGTCAGTCTCAACTACATAATGAGACCCTGTCTCAAAAACCAAAAAGAGAAAAAAGAAAAATGCCAGATCCCAGCTCTGGGCATCAAGCCCATGCCCATCTCTCTTTCCATTTCCTTGTCCCTGTCTCCGACAAGACAGGCAGTGTCACACTGCCATACAGGCACACAAGTCCCAGAGAACCACATGCTCCTAGACAACTGTGTTCCTGTAAACAAAGTTCATGACATTCTGTTACCCTACAATTCATAAGACTCTGTCGTCTTGCAAAGCTAAATTAGTAAAGCGTCTGTCTTGCCCCGTTCCAGTAAACTCGCTCACCACACCACGAGAAAGACGGGCCTACCCCCTCCGACTGAATCATAAAAATCATAACTTTACCTTGGGCGACAGCCCAGCACTTTGGACTCCGATTTGGCTGGGTCTGCTGCAGACCTAATAAAACCCTCCTCGTTACCACGTGGTCTCTCTTGTCCTTTGGAAATCTGCAGCCAAAGCAGTCGCGGTTCTGACAGAAGACGAAACAGTCGGGGAAAGGAGGCGGCAGCATCGGTCGCACCGTTTGCATTTGCGGGAATAGTGGCGGGGACAGCAGTAGCAGTAGCATTATTTATTTCACTCGGCATTGTGGCCTCAGTGAGCATCCGTTTACCTACAGGTGGCTGGTGCTCATCCTTGTTGATGGCAGAGTAGTACTCCACTGTGTGCAAAGCCAGCTTTTCTTCATGCACCCGCCTGCTGGTGGACGCAGAGTCAGCTCTTATGACTTCTGTGACTACAAAGCTGGGTGTGCAGAGATCACTGTAATATGATGCGTTTAATTCTTTCAGTCGTCCTACTTCACCTCCCACCAACAGGCAGGAGGGCTCCTTCTTCCCCGCGGCCTCTCCAGCAGGCCTTATCCTTTGATTTCTCGATGCTGACCTTTCTTTTTGAGACGAGAGTCACAGGAGAGGTTTCGTCGTGGCGCCTCCATGAGGTGTGGTCGCCTGCTGCCGGTCAGCTCGCTGCGCGGTGGGCAGACGGCGCACGGACGTGGAAGGGGGGCTGCTCCCGGCACGGAGGACAGAAACTCCTTCCAAAGCTCCCGCCCGGGACCCCACGCGGCTTCGGGGGGCCTCTAGATCCACCCCTAACAGTAGCGCCCTCGGCGGGAAGAGGAGCGCTGTGAAGGCCAACAAACTTCCCGTGTGGGTCTCACCGCGAGGAAGGCACAAGTGTCCGTGCACCTGCGGTCGGCACTTCACACATCACGAGCCTTTGAGGTCTCTTCCAAATCCTTCCCTTCTCCCTTCGCTCTGTCTGTCTTTCATGCTCCCACCGGCTGGAGCAGGCACCGGAAATCTCCGGCCCTGCCCGCACGCGTGGGCTTTCATCGAAGTGGACATCACGGAGAGGCCGTGTCCACGTGGTCCGTGGCCGTGTTTGTCCCTCAGCCGCCGAGGGGCTGGGTCGGCAGCCCGGGTCCCCCATCAAAACCTGAGCGGCCGTGTCGTGTCCTCTCCAGGAGGGTGGGAGAGAGCGGGGGAGACCGGAGACGGAGGGCGCGCCCGTGCGGTTGCATCCCGCCTCTTCCCCTACAGAACGAGTTCGCTTTCTGGTCCCCGTGGCCTTCTGAACACGATTTTCTCTTCCAGGCAGCAGAAAGTGCTGGAAATGCCGCGTCCGGACCGCTTGGGGTAAGCTGGGTTCGGGTGTGCGTTTCCTGTCTGCTCCGCCTTTCTCCCCGGCTTTCTCAGGACGCGCGGATCCTCGCGGGGCCGGGCGAGGCTGGGGATCGGCCAAGCGCCCTGCGCCCTGCGCACCGGGCACGGGATTCCCGGTTCCTGTGAATTTCCGGGCTGGCTGGCCTTGGGGGTGTCCCGGGCAAACCCATAAGGGGGTGCGATCTTCACCGCTAGCTGTAAATCCAGCCACACCTGCCCCGGGCAGGCGCCCAGGTCTCAAGGCGCCGTGTTGGAAAATGTCCACGGAGGGTCCGATTGTATCTGGGGTGCGTCCTTGCGGGGACTGGGTCGTTACTGTCTTACTGTTCACAAGGAGGCCCAGAGTGGCACCGGCCCGTTCTCAGAAGGCGTCTGTGACACTGGTGCTCACCACGGCTTAATCACGGCCCAGAGCCCTGGAGCCGGTGGCAGTCAGAACGGGAAGGGGCCCGCAGGTGTCTGACGCAAACCGTCCTTGCATTCTCACCGAGCAGACTCTGTGGCCCCAAGATCGTGTTGAAATCCCCCAGACACCAAACAGCAAGACGTATCTCTGACTCCGATTAGTCCGTAAAAGACCCGAGCACTGCACCCTCAGCTGCAGAGGCTGCGGTGTGATTGCACCTATTACAAAGGACCCCTGAAACAGAGGTGTCGCTCACCGCTCACAAAGGCCGGGAGCCCGGAAGCAGGCCGGCGCCGGCCTCCCTCCAGCAGCTTCTCTTTCAGGCGCTGTCTGCCCGCGGTGCTCACCGTGCTCCTCGCTGTGAAGGTCTCCACGGGCAGCGAGGCCCCGGGCTCCCGACCCAACATCCTGCTTCTGATGGCGGACGACCTGGGCATCGGCGATGTCGGCTGCTACGGCAACAGCACCATCAGGCAAGGACGGGAGAGTCCGTGTGCCCCCAGCGCAGGGAGCGGGAGAATCCGGCCAGCACCGTCGCTGCTGGGTGCTAGGTGCTGGGTGTATTCGCCCACCCGCCGACGCCGTCACTGCCCAAGGCAGGATGGGTGACACACGCAGAAGAGGGGCCCCCGTACCTGGGGGTGCCGGGGGTTCAGTGACGCCGGATACAGCCCCTTTCATGCAAACCCACTGCTGCGTGGAGCCTGTCTCCCACCCTGCGTCCCTTCGCAACTTTTCCTGTCCCCGCGACTCTGGTGGTGCCGTTTCCATCGCAGACTCTGGGGGGTGCGATCCACCCACAACGCCGAGCCCTCCCCGCTGCACCGGAATCCGGCGCACAAGGCGATCACTGGCGGATAACGCATCGTAATCAAGCCTATGTTTCCTAAGCCGCGCCCGCCCTATTCCGCACTGACCCAGCTTCCCCACAGCATGTTGAAAACCACCGCTAAGCCAAAGGCCAGTGTTCATCGGCTCTCTTTCCATCTGGCCTCTCCCAACCCCTGATGCAGGAATTTCAGCACCCTGCGTTAGACAGTCAGGTCTACACCTCATTGCCCCCAAATATAGAATAGGCCCAGCCTGCTGTACGGGCACCCCTGTAACGCCAACACTCCCGGAGGCTGAGGCAGGAGGATCACAAGTGAACTGCACAATTTAGCCACTCAGAATCTGTAACATCGTCAGCATCATCAAAAGGGCTGAGGTTGTAGCTCGTTGCAAACTCCCCGGGTTCGATCTCCGGTATGACGAAAGAGAGTGATAACAGGTACCCGTCTGTCGTGGGCCAAGCCATCTCCCCCGACTGATTTCAGGAAAGCCTTTTCCATAGCCTCGCTTCACCCGGAAATGCAGCTCCTTCGCCAACCTGGGGCCACCTTGGACTCCACGCACTGGGTCCTCGCAGCCCAAATCTCACCCTCGTGAGGCCCACAGACAAAGTGCTGGTGTCCACGGGGTCCCTCGCCGGGAAGACCATGAGGTCCTCTCTGTTCTGGTCCAGGGTCTGAGGAAAGGGTCTAGATCCATCCCGATCATCAGCGAGGGCCCCAGAGTGTCAGCCCTGCAGGGGGACCCGGTGACTCTCGCGAAAGCTGTCATGAGAGGGAACATTCTGTTTCTTGTCTAAGCAATGGGATTTCCTGGAACCAGGGAGTAAGGGATGAAGCGAGGCTAAACATCCTTTGTGGGACGTAGCTCGGTGGCGCCACCTCCTGCCTCGCAAGCGCAAGGTCCTGAGTTCGATCCGGGTACCAAAAGAAACAACAACAAAAAAAATCATTTGTGTCTGTTCTGAAGTAGACACTCAGAAACGTGTCCTTAATCGAACCCACGTTGCCTAGAAGGCGCCAGAGATATCTGAAGTTGGCACCGTCACCTGGGCCATTTCTAAGAGCGCTGCACAGCAGTTCCCAGATGACCCGCAGATTTGGACCGGAAGTAGTGTGAATACCGCGCTTAAGAAAAACTCGATTGTTTTCTAAAGTAAAACGATCATTTTCCCTTGCACAGGACCCCAAACATTGACCGGCTGGCAGCAGATGGGGTGAAGCTGACCCAACACATTGCTGCAGCGTCTGTGTGTACCCCGAGCAGGGCCGCCTTCCTGACGGGGAGGTACCCCATCCGCTCAGGTGAGCTCTGCCTCACGTCCTGCCCGGACGCTCAGGAGGGTGCTACATCTCACCGAGGCTACACTGGGGCACCGCGGTGACAGGTTACATCGGTACAACTGGCTACACCGGGTTTCATTCTGACAGTGGATGCAACAGGTTACATTGTGCCCACTGGACTCTGCAGTTGCTAGGATTACAATTGGATACCGCAGGTCACACTGTTATACCTGAATACTACGTGTCACAGTGTTACAGCTGGATAGTGCACATTACGTTGTTACAAGTCAATATCATCTATAGGCTGCATTTCACAGCTCCACACCACTGGTTTCATGGCTACAACTCCCCTGTGTCCTCCGGCATACAGATATTATAAAACCTTGGCTTGCAAGCATAATCTGTTCTGACAACATGCTTGCAACCCAAAGCGTTTATAATATCAAAGTGAATTTGCCCGTGAGAAGTAACGGAGATTCAGATGATGCACCCACAACCCAAAGCATTCATATAAAAACGATTGCAAAACTGTAATGCAAAATAATAAAGAAAATATGAAATATAAAAGGAAATAAACAAATTAACCCGCATTTACCTTCGGAAACCTCCATAGCTAGTGCGAGGGACGTAAAAGGAGGAGGATGACTTTTACCGTCCCTAACACGGTCACGGCTGTCTGTTGGGGCTCACTGTAACCCTTTTCGATCCATGCAACTTGAATAAGGAAGCTGTCTAACGACCCGACCCTGGTCTTGGCCTCCTTCTGAGGACTTGGCAGTAATGTAACAGGACGTTGTCGTTAAACAGCTTTATCGTTCACCCTGCCACAGCCCTGTCTGGGTGCTGCTTTTCTATGAAACTTGGCACTGTTTCCCCCATTTCAGTTCTTGTGCCCAAGTCGCGAAATCCCCAAAGACCATCAAGGGGTCAGGTCCGATGCAATTGCAAGAGGAATTTATTGCAAGCTCGAGCCTGGACCCTCGGGTGTCACCGTCAAAGCTCTCGTCAGACCGAGAGCCCAGATCTATCTTTGAGGTAGGATTATATAGGGTTAGGGAGACTCTTCCTTTTTATAGGTCCTATTTTCTGCTTTTGCTTACTATTGGATATTTGAGGGGTTCTGGGAGGTCACTTACTGGCAAATTACTAATACCTACGTTCACAGAATCAATTCCTCTTTTTTTAAAAAAACACCTGATTAAACAAATTCTATAATTAGCGAAGACTACCTTTGTCAGCAGTGACTAATGCCTTTGTCAGCAGTGGCTACCTACGTGAGCTGTGACTAGTACCTATGTTGGCTAAATCGGTTCCTCCTTTTAAAGAGCATTGATTCTCTTAAGCAGGGAGAATTCATCTTTAGATCATAAAAAGAGGAACAGAAACAGGGTGGAGATGCCCTAAGACACAGAGACAGAAAGAGCTAGAGACAAAGAGAGCACCACTGGCTGAGTCGTGATCGTGTGACATCCAGGGCCATGTGTGACATGTGTTGCAAGACCTCGCTCACACTGATCAAGTTCAAGTTCACTAGCAGGGCGCTCGCTTGTCTTGTGCAACTCTTGCAGAGCAAGTTACTTGCAATCCCGGGTCTGACCGCAGTGGGGAAGAATGTTCTTGTCCTGAGTTCCCCAGCACACAGCTGTCCTGCGGAATTTTCTGACCCCCGACACAGGGAGGGAAACGTCACGGACTGCCCCCGTGACGTGAATATAGTAAGAATGCTAGCCGTCATGCTAATTCGATGCAATCTATGCCCGATTTACTTTGGAACGGTGGAAGTCTCTATCAAATATTCTAAAAATTTTTAAAAATATGTATTAGTTAACATCAAACCCCGAACAAGTGTGCAATAATAACTTTTTTTTTTTAACGATGTTTCAAAGGCATGATTTCCTACAATGGTTACCGTGTTCTTCGGTGGACGGGAGTTGCCGGCGGCCTCCCAGCCAGTGAGATAACTTTTGCAAAAATACTGAAAGACAAAGGCTATACCACCGGACTCATAGGTATGTACATTTAGGGAAAAGGTTAGGTGCGTTACTTTGATGCGGAGAGCATATTCCACGGAAAAGTGTGGAAAGACGGTGCAGAGGACGGTGACTTTGCAAGAGAGAGAATTCTGAACGTATCAGATGTTTTGGGACTTTTACTGTGGTTTTCCAGAACGTCCTCAGATGTTCACCCAGAAACGTGATGATACCCATCACCCATACGCCTGTTTTTCCATATTTCAATGAAGCAATCTCAGCTACGAAACAACAGCAACAAAAGGAAAGGAATAAAAAAAAAAACTGAGGACACTGGTTTCTCCAGAGAGGTCTCCACCACCGCAGTCGTCACCCTGCGTCACGAACAGCCACACGGATCGCTCACGGAGACCGAGACCAGCTCAGCCGTGGGCTCCAAAATCCCAGCCCCAGCGTGAGCGTTTTTAAGACAGAAGAGCCTGCCCTTGGGTCCTGGGGCGCCCAGGCGGGATCTTCCAGGTGGCCGAGAACCGAGGGGCCACAAGGACAGGTTCGTGTTCACCTTTTTCCAAAGCCCCGGCAACAGATTCTGTCTTCGCGTGAGCTTGAAACTGCAGTCTGTGGGACTCACCGCCGGCCGCCCCGACCCCCGCTGGCAGTGTTTCAGCAAAGGAAGACACAGCTGCGAAGTCTGCGAGCTGTGGTCTGAGCTCCCGGGAGCAGCCGATGGCTCTGGGGTCCCCTAAGACCTCAGGCATCCACCGCCACCAAGCAGATAGTAGATCGAATAAGACACCCTGCCGGCACTAGCACCAGGAAGCCCGTGCACACCCCAGATCCTTGGCACACCTACACCCCGCCCCGTCCACAAAAGAACACCAGCGAATTTGCACACAATAAACTGAGCACACAGACGCCTTCCTGCATCTTTCGGGTCTCCCTCAGGCGACTCATAAAACCCATCACACGTGCAAATGCAATTCATTGTTAAACTCTGTATCTCCAGGAACAAGAAGAAAATAAGTCTGTGGGGGTTCGATATATTTTCTGATTTTTTTGGGGGGGTGGAGGCCACATTAGGAAATCCACCCAGGGCCATCGCACTGAGATACATGCCCAGCCCTGTTCGTGAAAATGCATTATTGTTCTGAGGCAGAGTCTCGTGAACGTGCCCCAGCTGAGCTCTAACTCAACACCCTCCTGCCTCAGCCTCCCATGTGGCTGGAACTCCAGGCATGGACCGTCACATCTGGCTGTTTTGCTAATATTTTCCATCTCCGGCCAGTTGAATTCAGGAATGGTAAAGCCACAGATGCGGTGGGCCGACTCTGGTACAGCATTTAGGAAAGCACCCTTGTCCGTACAACTCGGAAAAGTACTCGGAGGGGAAAGGCCCTTGGGTCTCCCGGTGGGTCCTATGTGGCAGGACCAGGGTCCTCCAAAGAGGGAAATTTGACAGCAGAGAGAAGCCGGGTGAGCAGGCGGGGGAGGAACAAGGTAGCCACGGGCCACATGCTCCGGGCCCTGGAACAGGAGCAGCGGACTCTGTCCCAAGGGCCACAGACAGAATACACATTGGAGACGCCTGCTTTGGCCTCCAGGACTGGGAAGGCACCGATTTCTTTTGTCCTAAGCAAAGCAGGATTTTGGAAGTTTGTGTCAATTCTCTTAGGAAATTAATAAACTTGGGTGTCGGGGGTGGGGTCGGTGCTAAACGCCCTGCAAGCACAGGGCCCAGCTGGGGTGTCAGGACCCTTAGACACTATGAGTCCCGTTCCCAAGTCCCTGTCGGCCTCAGTGCCTCGCACAGCTGGGGAATATTACGGGAAACCTGTGCAGAGACTCCCCGGTGATCCAAAGCTAGAATTTCCCTTTGATCCTGCTACTCCCCTCGAAGACTTCTTCCTGAAAGAATTAAGGACTTCATATTTACAGGGATCCACGCACACCCATGTTCAGAGCATCACAACTCAGAATAGCTAAATCTCAGAAGCAGCCTGCGTGTCCTTCAACAGATGAACGAACCGATTTTTTTAACCTGCTGCTTATGCACAGTGGAGTACTACTCTGCCGTGAAGAAGGATACCGTTGGGTCATTCGTACGAAAACAGTTGCACCTCCGGTCCTCGGTGTCCAGGGGAATGAATCAGACACACGGGGTCCCGTTTCAAGTAGTTTTTCTTCCGTGAGAAACACAAAGTAAACAGGCACACGGAGCTTTTGCAAAGGGGAAGGGGCCCCTGAGATGCAGGCAGGAGAGGGGAGGGTGAGGACCGAATTGAGCAGTGCTGCGTGCGCCCTCCGGCTCCCCGCAGGAGCTCTGGTCCCGATCTTCTGCACGTACGCAGTGACAGAAACCTTTTCTTTTTAACACGGAGTCTTCCCCGCCTGATCTCACTCCCCAGGGAAGTGGCACCTGGGCCTCAACTGCGAGTCACCCAGCGACCACTGCCACCACCCGCTGAAGCACGGCTTCGACCACTTCTACGGGGTGCCGCTGTCCATGATGGGCGACTGCGCCCAGTGGCCGCTGTCCGAGAGGCGCATCGGCCTACAGAGCCGGCTCGACTTCTACTCCCACGTCTTGGCCGTGGCCGCTCTCACCCTGGCCGCCGGGAAGCTCACCCACCTGCTGCCCGTCTCCTGGACGCCGGCCGTCCTGGCCGCCATCGTGGCCGCCGGGGTCTTCACGACTTCCCACTTCCTGGGCGGCCTGCTGGTCCACGCCGACTGCTTCCTCATGAGGAACCACGACATCACCGAGCAGCCCATGCGCCTCGAGATGGCCAGCTCGCTCCTGGTGGAGGAGGCCGAGTCCTTCCTCAAAAGGTGAGCGCCTGGGGCCCGCTTCGTCCCGGATCCGGGCGTCGTGGCAAAGACGCCCTGGGAACGGTCGCCTGGGGACAGCGGGCCGATCCGTGTGTCTCGCTCGAAAGACGTTACGGGTGACACAAGGCCTGGGCCGCGGCCAGCTGGGCTCTGACTTCCGCTGGGCGCTTTACGACTCAAGGAAGTCTGGTCACGTCCGCTACTCTCAGGTCACCCCAGTCCCACGACCACACCAACCGCCACGGGTCCCAGCTCAGCCACGTCACGCGTAGGGCCACCCCAGAAGCCTTGGTAATAAACTCTGGGTATCTTTGAAGCTTTATCCTAAGGGCCAACAAGCTGTCCTGCTGACCTAAGCCTACGTGTAAGCCTGGGTCACGGCCCTAGCCTGGGAAGGGCTGCGTGACACGACACGGCATTGAACAAGGGTCACCTGCACGCTGCTCAAGGGGGGTCCTGCTCAGCAGGGTGTGCTTTTCAGCTTTCCAGTTGCTGGGATGCAGCACCTCACAAGGAGGAAACGTCAGTCTTGGGTCATGGTCTCGGGGAGCTCAGTCCGTGGTCGGCTGCCCCAGAGATCTCGGGGGGCTCAGTCCGTGGTCAGCTTTACGTGTAAGCCTGGGTCACGGCCCTAGCCTGGGAAGGGCTGCGTGACACGACACGGCATTGAACAAGGGTCAGCTGCACGCTGCTCAAGAGGGGTCCTGCTCAGCAGGGTGTGCTTTTCAGCTTTCCACTTGCTGGGATGCAGCACCTCACAAGGAGGAAACGTCAGTCTTGGGTCATGGTCTCGGGGGTCTCAGTCCGTGGTCGGCTACCTGGGTCACGGCCCTAGCCTGGGAAGGGCTGCGTGACACGACACGGCATTGAACAAGGGTCAGCTGCACGCTGCTCAAGAGGGGTCCTGCTCAGCAGGGTGTGCTTTTCAGCTTTCCACTTGCTGGGATGCAGCACCTCACAAGGAGGAAACGTCAGTCTTGGGTCATGGTCTCGGGGGTCTCAGTCCGTGGTCGGCTACCCCAGGGGTCTCGGGGGGCTCAGTCCGTGGTCAGCTACCCCAGTGGTTTCGGGGGGTTCAGTCCATGGTCAGCTGCCCCAGTGGTCTCAGGGGGTTCAGTCCATGGTCAGCTGCCCCAGTGGTCTCGGGGGGCTCAGTCCGTGGTCGGCTGCCCCAGTGGTTTCGGGGGGTTCAGTCCATGGTCAGCTGCCCCAGTGGTCTCAGGGGGTTCAGTCCACGGTTGGTGCCCCAGTGGACTCAGAGTGTTTGGATTTTTAGATGGATTTGAGAAAGGAAAATTAGCCACCTAACATTTTAAATTTAAAAAATTTTCTAGTCATGGAAATTGAACTTAGGGTCACTGAACCGAGCTACATTCCAGATGTTTATTTATTTGTTTTCTGTTTGTTTTGGGGTCAGGGTCTCACTATGTAGTTGAGACTGACTGGAGCTAACTATGTAGCTCAGGCTGGTCTCGAACTCACAGCGATCCTCCTGCCTCAGCCTCCTGAGTGCTGCGATTACAGGCGTGCGCCACCACGCCCGGCTTCTTTTTGTTTTTTGATGTATTTGTTTTGAGGCACACGCTTGCAAGTTTTGCCAAATAGAAATCAAATCTCACATCCTCCTGCCTCGGCCTCCCAGAGTTCTGGGGTGACCAGCCGCTGTGAAAGACTTTAACGTGGGAATAGCGTGCTGTTGCGTATCTGCAGTCCGTAGGTAAAGGCCCGGAGATGGTGGCGGAGGCTGAATCCTGAGGAGGCCGCCTAGTGACCGCGTCCAGGATTTCGAGCACCGAGCTAAGTGGAACCTTTGCTGCCTCCCCCCGCGTTCGTGTTTAGGAACAAGCAAGGGCCGTTTCTCCTGTTCGTTTCGTTCCTGCACGTCCACACCCCTCTGGTCACTACCGAGGAGTTCCTGGGGCGGAGCCAACACGGGCTGTACGGCGACCACGTGGAGGAGATGGATTGGATGGTGGGTCAGTGCTGGGGAAGGGGCCGGGAGGTCACCGCTGCGGGGGCGGAGCCGGGAGAAAGAGTCCACGGAGACCCTAGGACAGAAGGCGGCAGGCGGCGGCTTTCAGGGCGGCAGAAGTTTGCGCGAAGGGCTCGGCCAAGCCCCCAGGCAACGCCGGCCTCCTAACTCGCCCAAGCTGGGCGGCGCTCGGGCTCCTCCCG